ACACTGCCACTCATGAGCTGAGACAGACACTTTCTGACCTCCTCACATCCAGCCACCCAGCCTGATTCTGCCAAAGGAACTTTATTTCCAGATTTGCTCACAGAGTTCGAACCATAGTTGGCCATGTGGGAGTACTGCCTTAACCACCCCACCACCTGCTGGTCCCCTCTCTTTGTTTTTATTTTTTAATTTTTTAAAAAAGATATGTGGCATCGTCCTTGTTCCAGTGAGCACCTGGAAATAATTCTGAACCACGTCTATGTTATCCCAGGCTGTGATAGACAAACTCCATAAACCCTCTCTTTTTTTTTTTTTTTTGGAGCATGTGCTCACCAGAAAGAGAGAGACAGAAAGCGAGAAATCACTCTCCAGGGGGGATGGCCACGCCGCAATCCCTTCTCCTCCATTCTCCTCTTGAGATCTTGGGCACGCACGCACACGCACCCAGCGAGTTTAAGCCACCAGGTTCCAGGACTCAAACTGTGGTCGGCTACATGGGAGTCCAGTGACATAGCCATTACGCTAACTGCTAGTCCCATTTTTTTAAATTTAGAGACAGAGTCTTGCTAGGTTGTCCAAGCTGGTCTTGAAGTCACAATTCTTCTGTCTCGGCCTCTCCAGTAGCTGGGATTACAGGCACATACCATTACACCCAGCTGTAAGAGCTCAGTTCTTAATAAGACTTTAAGGGGTGAGGTACTTTGTCTTGAAAAGAAACAGGATAAAGAAAAAAAGTGGAGTAAAAGTAAGTATTTCGAGGGACAAACTGCACACAAGCAGCTGAAGGAGCAGAAAAGGGCTTGTTTCATAAGTAAGACAGGAAGTAAAAAGGTGAGCTTCCCAAGAACACAGGCAACTGGCATGGAGCTCGGGGTTGGCTGAGATTTTGGGAAAGGGACAGAGGGGTGAGGGGTGCAGTTTTTTGGTTCTGGTAATGACATGCAGCTGCTAATCATAGTATTTCTGCAATGGACACCTACTCGCCTCATCCTGCTCAAAGGAGTAGAATATTAAAACAGAAGCAGCAAGTTTCACCCTTGTTTAACCTGAGATTGGTGGGCAGAGTTGGAACACAGGTGAGAAACACTGACACCCTAACAAAATAACAGAAGCTTTTGTAGACTTGGTTTAGTAACAGCCTTGACATTTGGTCAGTATGTCTCCCAAAACATACATGGAACTTAAAAGAATTACAGTATAGGGGCCAGTCCTGTAGGGCAGAGGTTAGGGGCTGTGTATACCATGCTGGACCACACCTGGACAACTGTGGTTTGAATCCCAACCCTGGCCATTTGAAAACTGTGCCAGGTGCATGTCCATGGGTGCCCAAAATCTTGACAGGATGGAGAAATAGAGGAAAAGGGATTATATCATGACTACACCCCATAGGGGACACTTTTTCTTTCTGGCAGGTGCATGTGTGTTTTAGCAATTAAAAAAATAAAACTTATAGTATGGATTCCTATTTTGTGAACTGTCTTTTGACAAAGACAAAGATATAAGTTGGTAATTAAAAGTGGAATCTGGGGCTGGCAGGTGGCATGGCGGTTAAGGGCACTAGACTCTCCCACATAGCCAATTGCGGTTCACATCCTAGACCTGGTGGTTTGCTTTATCTCTCTCTCTCTCTCCACCCCCTCTAGTCAAATTTAAATTAATAAGTAAATAAATAAGTAAAGTTAAATAAAATAATTCCTTAAAAAAAAAAAAAAAAAAAAGTGGACTCCACAGGCCCAGTGGCAATGGCGTGCTCCACAGGTAAGCCCACACAGGAAGCCCATGAAAAACCCGAGCCAGGCACAGTGCCATCCGCCCATGATTGCAGGTTCTGAGTGCCACATTCAGCAGGCTGAGGCAGTGGGATTGTGAGCTAGAGGGTGGCCTGGGAGATTCCTCTATGAGGAGATCCTGTCTAGAGAAGGACTAGGAGTGCTGGCCCATGCCTGTAGTCACAGCTGGGAGGCTGAGGCAAGAGAATCATGACATGATGAGACCTAGTCTTTAAAAAAAAAAAAAAAAACAGCTGACTGTGGTTCAAGTCCCGGACCTGGCAGCTCGCTTGCTAGCTGTCTTTCATTTTCCCAATAAATAAATAAAATAATTCTTTTTTTTTTTTTTAAAAAAAAAGGACCAACAGATAGCACAGAGCTTACATCACTGGACTCCCACATGGCCAACCATAGTTTGAGTCCTGGGACCAGTGGCTTCAAGATCACAGTGGATTAATGTGTGGTTCAAGTCCCGGACCTGGCAGCTCGCTTGCTAGCTGTCTTTCATTTTCCCAATAAATAAATAAAATAATTCTTTTTTTTTTTTTTAAAAAAAAAGGACCAACAGATAGCACAGAGCTTACATCACTGGACTCCCACATGGCCAACCATAGTTTGAGTCCTGGGACCAGTGGCTTCAAGATCACAGTGGATTAATGTGTGTGCATGCCCACGATCCCAGGAGAATGCAGAAAAAAAGGACTGAGGCATTGCCATATCCCCATTAGGGGGGGAGGATGATTTCTCACTTTCCCTCTCATTGTCTCTGTCTCTCTTGGAAGTGCACACACCCTAAGACAAACCCTTTTTTAAAATTGTTTTTAAATAATAATTTTTAAAATTTAACTTTGTTTATTTATTTTGACCACAGAGTGATAGACTGAGAGAGAGAGAGAGAGAGAGAGAGAGGGAGAGAAAGTTGTTTTGTTTTGTTTTGTTTTGTTTTGTTTTACCCAGTTGGCCATGTGGGACCCATCTGCCCTAACTACCACACTGCTACACTATGTGTTTTAAATATTAGGCACTCTAAAAATTCTCAAACGGGGGGACCAGCAGTTGGCATAATGGATATATTGCTGGACTCCCATGTAGTCGACTGCGGTTTGAGTCCTGGACCCAGTGGCTTAAACTCATGCGGGGTGCGTGTGTGTGCATGCCCAGGATCCCGAGAGGAGAACGGAGGAGAAGGGATTGAGGTGTGGCCAACCCCCCTGGGGGGTAATTTCTTGCTTTCTGTCTCTCTGTCTCTGTGTTTCTGGTGAGCGCACACGCCCTATAAGCCAAAAAACAAAAGCCTCTCCAAAATAAATAAATAAATAAAGTGGAATCTATAACCAATAGATTCTAGATACTCAATAGGACAAAAATCCTTCCAGAGAAGGCCACTTTCTTATGGATGGCCATACAACTCATTGTATAAAAGAGAAAAAAACAATTTCTAAAAGGCATAAAACTGAGACATTTTTCTCAACTATTAAACATTGTGACAGGCTCACCTAAGGGATTTAAGATACCCTTCTCCACCTCATTTGCTAAGTACTTTGTAGCAGTCCAGGGTCCCTGTGTACCCTGAACACCACAGAAGACAGCAAGGGCTAGAGGGGTAAAAATGCTGTAAAGGAGACCCCAGGGCAAGATCCCTGAACATTTTTAATCCCGACTTTCTTCCTGTCAATAATCTGAGATATCTTCTTTCTTTAAGAGAGACATTTTTGTTACAGGGCACATGCACTTGCCAGAGAGACAGAAAGCAAGAAATTGCCCCTCAAGTTTTAGCCACACCACAATCCATTCTCCTCCACTCTCCTCTTGGAATTTTGGGCACACACGCACACGATCCAAGCCACTGGGTCAGGGACTCAAACCACAGCTGGCCATGTGGAAGTCCAATATCTCAACCACTATGCCACCTGCTGGCGCCAAAAATCTGAGATATCTTACTGGTCGTATTTAGCAGTCTTTTTCTTTTGAGAGAAAAAGGGCAAGTGTGCTGCTGGAGAGAGAGAGTCAGTGAGAGGGGAAAATGAGAAATCAACTCCCGGGGGATGGTCACGCTGCAATCCCTCCTCCTCCTGGGATCTTGAGCATGAACGCACATGCACCCAGTGTGAGTTTCCAGCTGCCAAGTCTAGGACTTGAGCAATCAGTCATGTAGGAGCCCAGTGATGTAACCACCACGTCATCTGCTGGCTCCCACATTTAGCAGTCTTAAAGTACAATTTACAGGGGCTGGCAGGTGGCGTGCTGGTTAAGGGTGCTGGACTCCCACATGGCTGGCAGCAGTTCGAGTCCTGGACCTGCCAGCTTGCTTTCTCACTTTCCATATCTCTCTCTTTTTGGCTCTCTCTCTGTCCCTCCCTGGTCAAATTTAAATAAATAAAATAATTCTTTTTTAAAAAAGGTACGATTTACAGCAGATAAAGTGACAGTACTTTACAGTTCAGAAAAGATGTTGACATATAATGCCTCATCTGAGCTCACAGCAACCCTGGCCTGCAAGCATGACAGATATTACTATCTGCATTTTACAGACAGGAAATTGAAGCCCAGAATGTTAAATGACTCAACTGATTCATGGAGCTGGTTTGTAGAAGACCTAGAACTAGAACTCAGGACTAATTCTAGGAACACGATTTTATTTTGGTACAAAAATAAAATTGGAAATGCACATAGTTTTTTCATAATACACGTTCTCATGAGCTATTTTAAGACCCCCTCACACATGATGAAAGCTGTCCACTGGCCAATATAAGCTACTGTGAAACTGACCAAAGGGTCCTACAGTGAAAGAAAAGGCATCAAATGAGGAAGCAAGCCTCAACCTGATGGGGAAAAAAGTACTAAGAGCTACCAATGATTCAGTAATCCCTTGCCCCAAATTTTTATCTATTTAGACTTTTTAGCAAACCTTCACAGTATGTGCTAGAAGCTGTTCTAAGCACTTTTAAACATTAAATCATTTAATCCTGATTATGATTCTATGTGGTCTAGTATTAGCCCCGTTTTGCAAGACAGAACCCAGTTTAAAGGCGTTAAATACCTTGCCAGATGACACTTTGCAAGCAAGAAACAGAAATGGAGATGGTGGTCTGATTCCAAAACCTCCCTGCCTGTGTCATTCTTGAGCTGTGGGTCCTCTGTCCCCTTTGGCACAGGAGGCGTGGACAGGACAATTTTAGCTTATGTGACTGGAACTACATGGCTCGCAGGATGAATTTTTAACACGTGCTAGAAATAACGTATTGGATGTTCGCTGTCCTTCACAGCTGTCACACCATAGGAAGCTGTACATTCAGTTCAACAGTGCAGAAACATTTCTGGCACGAGCCAAGTTTACAAAAAAACACGGGACCAGAAGGCAGCATGGTGGTTAAGGCAGTTGATCTACCTGGCTAACTGCATGGTTCTAGTCCTGTATTTGTCAGCCTTAATATCATGCTGGACATGAGTGCCCAAAATCCCAAAAGAAAAAATGGAAGAGAAGAGATTGTAGCATGGCCATCCTTCCTGGGGATGCTTTCTTTCTTCCCTTCTCTATCTCTCTGTATCTCTAGGGTAAGCATATGTGCCCTCCAGCAAAGTAAAAAAAAGGCCAGCCCCACAGCAGAGTAATTAAGCACTACTCAGAGGAAGGTAGATTACACATAGCCAACCATGTTGAGTCTCAGCTCTAGTGGCTTGAGAAACATGCCAGACACATGTGAGAACACACCCCAAATCTGATGGGATGGGAAAATGAAGGAAAAGGGATTCCAGTTTGATCATATCCCAGTGGCAATATAACATACATATTGGGTCAGCAGGTGGCCTGATGGTTAAGGTGCTAGATCCCATATAGCTGTCTGTGCCACTCAAGTCCTGGACCTAGCAATTTAAGGGAAACACCAGGCCTGTGTGCATGCAAGTCCAAAATCTTGAAAGGAGAACAGAGAAGGGACAGCAATGTGGCCCATCCCCTCTGGGGGGTGACTTCTTGCTTGCTCTCTCCCATCCTCCCTCCTACCCTCCCTTCCCTTCCTCTTCCTCTCTCTTTTCCCCTCCCTCCTCCCCTAGCTGCCACACATGCCTATAGCAAAAAACTAAAAACAAAACAAAAATAACATACACACACAAACATCAACACTTTAACACTCCACTTACTCACCATAGTTCCTTGAGACACCTGGCCTTTTAAAAAATCTTTTTAGGGAGCAAACAGTAGTTGGCGTAATGGCTATGTCACTGGACTTCCATGTAGTCGACTACGGTTTGAGTTCCAGATGTGGTGGCTTAAAACTCAGGCTGGGCGCATGTGTGTGAGTGCCCAAGATCCTGAGAGGAGAAGGGATTGCGGCGTGGCCATCCCCCTTGTGGGGTGACTTCTCACTTTCTGTCTGTCTCTCTCTGTTTTTCTGGCGAGTGCACATGCTCCATAGCAAAAAAACAAAAACAAAAACAAAAACAAAAAAACCTTTTTAGGAGACCAAAAGAATAGTCCAAAGATTGTGCCATAGGTATTGAAGGCAAAGATGAAACCTCAAAATACTGCTAACAAAAGTGGGCCCACTTTATAACTAAGAAAAACTAGTGCCTCTTTGCAGTAACTAATCATCTTGATCCTGTAACAGGTGGATAGTATGACTTAAAATCTTATTATCTGTATACCTTTTAGGAGAAAGGGAGGCTAGTCATTTTTTTGCCTAATTATTTTCAAGAGTAGCAAAGAAGGAAAACTGGTAATATGTCTACAAGCCATGCTGACAGGTAAAGATGTTTCCTTACGTTACAGACTCCCCATGCCACAGTACACTCTTCAGAAGTCGCCGATGCCTGGTTAGCTTGACATTCTATGCCTGTGGGAACAAAAGCAACGGAACACCAGACCTCAGAACAGGGAACTTTCAATCTACAGCAGCCAAATAATTCTCAAGTGGTTAATTAGCCATAATTGTTTTTTAATGAATGTAAAAAGGTGAGAAGAATAGAGAAGAAAGAAATATGACTAAACAATATGTGATCCAACGATCTCCTGTCCCTGTTTAAAAAGAGTAACAAATGGAAAAGGTGCTTTAAATTCTGAACATAACCTGAATTGTAAAATGGAAGTGCTTCCTCCTACTCTGGTAAATTTAGTAAAGTCTTAAGGCCACCTCATAACTCCTACTGTCCTCTGAATTGGAATCTTTCCTGATTTGTGGTAAATGCTTCCTTGTAGGTCCTTACAACATCTAGACGTGCGTAACAAGCTCCACTCCCTAAGGCAGTCAGGCAGGAACCTGTGACCTGGGACAGAGCAAAATATTGATAGAGGGAGTGAGGAGGCCAGTGTCAGACTGTAGAGTAAGTTCTGTGTACAAAGACCAAAACTCAAAACTGGGCTGACCCCATGGCAAAGTGATAATGTGCTACTCAAGAGAGACCATATGCCATATGGTGTCCTTGGTTCAGTCCCAGCCCAGTCAGCTGGAAACACACCAGCCATATACACAAGTCCCCAAGAAACGATGGGCTGGAAGACTGGGGTTAGGAGATGGTAGTGTGACCAGACCCTGTGGAGGGCGCTCATCTCCCTCCCTCTCTCACATGCATACACATGTGCTCTGTCATGAATAAAGAAAAAGAACTTTATGAAATAAAGAAATTTTAAAGTCCAAATTTTTTCAAACACTGCCAAACAAAGCCAATTAGGCCAATGGGTTAGAGACTTGAGGCCTATTTTGTGATGCTCATTGCCCTTAATGTGATTCTGTCTGGGAAGTAAAGCAAGTTACCATAAATATACCCCAAAATTAATGCCAGAGAGGAGGAAAAGAAGTAAATTTAAATATGATAAAAATATGAGACTTAGAACTGATGAGTAAAGCTCTACTGGGGATAAATATTCTAATAACTAATATATAACTTACTTTATCTTTTTAAAGAATTATTTTTATTTAACCTTACTTATTCATATATTTATTTTATTTTGACCAGAGAGGGACCATGAGAGAGAGAGGGAAAGTGAGAAAGCTAGCCTCCAGGTCTGGGACTTGAAGTGTGGTCGGCCATGTGGGAGTCCAGCACTCTCAACCACCATGCCACTGCTGGACCCTGTAATTTACTTTCTCTGGAGTTGATAACTAAAATGGAGTCTCCCTTCTGAAGAAAGTGAGAAATCACCCCCTAGGGGGGAATGGGCACACCATACATAATCTCTTCTCCTAAAGATTATTTATTAGTGGGCGAGTAATTCAAATCACCATATGTGAAAATAGTAACATTTAAAAAAAATAATGCTTAAAAAAATGCTAAAAAGAAAATAATAATAATGCTGAAATGTTAATAGGTATGTTTGGTCTTGAGAGAAGAGTTATACCATAATAGCATTTTTTACCCTTAATATCAAAGGTATGGGACAGCCAGGTGGTGTGGTGGTTAAGGTGGCCAGATCCCACAGGGTCAACTATACCTCTCTGGGAGGTGCTTTCTCACTTTTTCTCTCTCTTTCTCCAGCAAGTGTGTAAACTCCCTAACAAACTGAAACAAGCAGGGACTAGCAGTTGGCGTAATGGCTATGTCACTAGACTCCCACATAGCCGACTGTGGTTCAAGTCCTGGTCCCGGTGGCTTAAAGTCAATCTGGGTACGTGTGTGTGCGTGCCCAAGATCCCAAGAGGAGAATGGAGGAGAAGGGATTGTGGCATGGCCATCCCCCTGGGGGGTGATTTCTCCCTTTCTGTCTCTCTGGAGAGCGCATGTGCCCTATAGCAAAAACCTCTCAAAAAAAAAAAACAAAAACAAAAACAAAAAAACAAGCAAACAAAACTACATCTCAGTCACAGTTTTAACCTGTTGCCTAGTAAAATGAGTGTTTAAAAGACATGACATATGGGGCCACCAGGTGGTATGGTGGTTAAGGCAATTGGACTCTCACATGGCTGACAACAGTTCAAGTCCTGGATCTGGTGGCTTGCTTTCTCATTCTCTTTCTCTGTTTCTCTCTGGTCAAATTAAAATAATAATAATAAATAAAGTTAAACAAATAATTCTAAAAAAAAAAAGACATGACATAAAGGGGCCATCAGCTGGCGTGGTAGTGAAGGTGCTGGACTCCCACATGGCCAAACACGGTGTAAATCCCAGACACAGTGGCTTGAAAATCACACTGGGTACATGTGTATGTGCCCAAAATCCAAGGAGGAGGATGGAGGAGAAGGGAATGTGGAATGGCCATCTTTCCTGGGGGATGATTTCTCATTTTCCCTCTCTGTCGCTGGAAAATGTATGTGCCCTATGGCAAACACCAAAAAAAAAAAAAAAAAAAAAAAAATGTAGAAAAAAAATTAGTAATTTTAAAAACAGGAGTTCAACACTCTACTACATCTGACATTTAAAATACATTACAGAGGGGCCAGCAGGTGGTGTGGTGGCTAAGAGCACTGGAATCCCATAGGACTGACTGTGGTTTGAGTCCCGGACCTGCCGGCTTACTTTCTCACTTTCTCTCTCTCTCTCTTTCTCACTGTCCTTCTCTGGTCGAATTAAAAAATGAAGAAATAAAGAATGTTAAATAAAATAATTCTTAAAAACAAAAACAAAAAACATTATGGGACCAGCAGATGACAAAGCAGTTATATCGCTGGACCCCTACATAGTTGACCAAAGTTCAAGTCCTGGACCTGGTGGCTTAAAATTCACAATGGGCACATGTGCATTTGTGCCCAAAATCCCCAGAGGAGAATGAAGGAGAAGAGATTGTGGCAGGCCATTACCCTCGTGGGGGGGGGATTTCTCACTTTCCGTCTCTCTGTCTCTGGCAAGTGCACGTGCCCTATAGCAAAAATCTCTCTTTAAAAATAAATATAAATAAAGTACAATACATTACAGATAAAACAGGTGTCTATCTGAAAGTCTACTGATCTCTCAAACATCCAACTGTAAAAGAAGAAGCCTAAGATGGCTTTTGTCTTTTGTGATTCTCCCAAGATGTACATTCTCTTGCATCCAGAGAAACAATGAATTAAATATAGAGGGGAGAAAAAAAAATCAGCTATGTAACATCATTAACTATTTTCAGGCAGCCTGAGAAAGAAAATTTTCTCTGGGTACAACTTCGTGTGAAAACACAGGGCACACAAAGACTTGGCAGGAGTGTAATCAAAGACTCCACCCAAACACATTTAAAACTGTACATGTGTTTTTCTGTGATGGATTCTTCCATGTACCGTAAACGTCATGGTAGCAGCTGATCTGCTTTGACCACAGTTCAAACAGGTAAACAGCCTCAAAGCTCAAAGCCAAGGACAATAACCTATCAGCACTTGCCACGATTGCTCTCCAACACAAAACATTTAATTCATGCCATCTTCATCTTTATGACCACAGACTTCTGTGTTTTGTTCCGCTATTTTCTGTGTTTTTATTATTAATTCAGCAAATGTTTAGTGGCTACTTACTACATACAGACACTATGCTAGATGCTTGGTATCCAATAGTAAATAAAACGGACATGAGGGAGAACCAACTAAATTAAATGATGTCTTGAGAATATTTAATAGAACTACATGGGACCAGCATATGGTGTAATGGCTGTGTCACTGGACATGGTTATATCCTACACAGCTGACCACAGTTTGAGTCCCAGACGTGGAGGCTTGATACTCATGCTAGGCATGTGTGCATGCCCCAAATCCCAGAAGAATGGAGAAGGGATTGTGGCATGGCCATCTCCCCCACCCCAGGGGTTGACTTCTTGCTCACTCCCTCTCTCTCTCTCCAGCAAGCACATGCAGCCTATAGAAAACATCACTCTAGAGGCTGGCAGGTGGCGTGGTAGTTAAGGGTCCTAGACTCCCACATCTCTGACTGTGGTTTGAGTCCCAGACCTGACCACTTGCTTTCTCACTTTCTTTTTCTCTCTCTCTCACTCTATCCCTCTCTGGTCAAATCAAATTAAGTAAAAAAATTAAATAAAATAATTCTTGGGTGAAAAAAAAAAAAGGTAACTGCCATAACCTGTGTTTATATAAGTTTAGAAGTATGGTCAGGGGAAAACAGCCCGGGGGACCAGCAGGTGGTGTGGTGGTTAAGGTGCTGGTCTCCCAAATGGCTGACTGTGGTTCAAGTGCCAGACCTGGTGGCTTGCTTTCTCACTTTCACTCTCTAGTGAGCACATGTGACCTGTAGCAAATTAAAAAAAAAAAAAAAAACCAACAATAAAAAAAAAAGAGCCAGGAC